AAGTCTCAGGCTTTATTGTATTACTGTCCATATATTTTTGCAATTGTTTTACTTGTTTCTTATAAATTTAGATACATTGCCATCTGGTGGATATGCATGGTATTGCTATTCATTCATTGATTTCTTTAAGAATAATATAAATTCCTTGTTTATCTATTGCAATTATGTATTTTGAATTTTGCTTTACCAGATAGAATTATTGCAAATCTTGCTTTTATAAATTCTCCTGATGCATAGTAAATTTTGTTCCTGCCTCTTATTTTGATTCTGTGTGTGGTTTTGCTTTTTAGATATGTTTCTTATAAATAATAAATTGTAGGGTTTTCTTATGTGTTCCACCATTTTCTTGGATTGCTAAGTCCATTCACATTTAAAGTAATAAGAATTGGGCTTGTAATTTCCTTCATGTATTTATTTAGTATTTCCTTTCTTTATGCTTTTTTTTTTTTTTTTGCTTTTTGGTGAGGCAATTGAGATTAAATGACATGCTCGTAAGTATCAAGTGTTTGAGGGCAGATTTGAACTCAGGTCCTCCTGATTCCAAGGCCAGAGCTCTATCCATTGTGCCACCTAGCTGCCCCTTTAGTATTTTCTTAATCCTCTTCCTCTTTTATTTATTTATTTATTTAATTATTTTTTCCTCTTCCTCTTTTAAGTTAGTTCTTACTCCTACAACTTTGCTAAAACTACTCTAGTGTGACTCTTCTCTCATGGGCTCCCAACCTTCCCTGATCCTGTTTGCCTATTCTCTCCCTAGTGTAGGGGTTTTACTTTATTGGTTTCTTTTTCCTTCTTTTATTTTAGTTATCTGTTTCTTCCCCTCTTTTGACCCTTTCCCTTCCCAGTTAAGTGCTTAGTTCAAAATCTCCCCTTTTCTTCTTTCCAACTTCTTATGATTATTATTTTTCTTTTTACTTTGTTTTTTTTATAAGAAGTTTTCATTTTCTTTGCTCTTTTCATTAATTCTCTTCTTCTCCAGTCAATTCTGAGGTGTCATTGTCTTATCCTTGGGCTATTATACTCAAATGGATCTATGATCTCAAGTTCTCTACAACGATGCAGCTTACAACTCCTCCATGCCTATCCTGTGATTCTTGTCTATGTCTTTCCAAAAGTTCACCACTCAATGTGGAGTCCTTCTTTGCTTTCGTCCAACATTAAGAGTGTACTAGAGGACTCTGGCCATCTATATCATATCCTCCCTCTTACCACATGATGAGCCCATCTTCTCGTTCTATCATACAAATCTTAGATGACACCTTTTCCTCCTGTTCTTTGGAGCTTGTTAGATTATATGTTGTAGCCTGCTCACACTCACCACATGCGTTTCCATTGCTTTCTGTGTGATGGTCATCCTAGCTCATCAGAGGCAGTTGTATTCCAGATCTTATTGTTCTACAGCAACACCAGTAAAAATGTTTGTATTAAAAAGATGAGCCTGTTTGGAGTTAGTAACAGTGCTTTGTAATTTCATAAAAACAATCCAAGTCACTCACCATTTCAATTCTGGGTCCAGCTCAACATGTATATGTATGTGTATATATGTATATGTGTATGTATGTATATGTGTATATATATATGTATATTATATATATATATTTGATGGACAAGTTCTGCAGGGTGTCCCATTAGATACATGTTGAAATCTGACTCTTTTTCCATTTGGTCTTTCCTGAATGAACTACAGACCAAACATCTTTGAATGATTACAAATCTATTCCAGGAGGCTCTGAAGTGCTTTGGGATTTATGCAGTCAACACATCGTCTACAAACAGACACATCTGAAGGAGAATCTCTGTTCCACTTGGACTCAGTGATGGTTCTTCTCCATTCCTGTAGTGAATATTTTTATCAGACATATATCTATATCTATCTGTCTATCTACATATCCATATCTATCTATCTATATAAGTTCTATACTTCACTTAATGTTTTTTATCAGAACGTCGTTGAACATATCTGTTGTTACTTTTTCCAAGGAATCTTGAATTATCTTGCTCTATGGATGGAAAACATTTTGTGGTAAAAAGAACTTAGAAGTCAATGTTTTACATATTGTTTGTGAAAGCCTGCTTGTTTCCTATTAGCCCTCATTGAGGGTTAATATCCTTAATTTATATATAGCTGACTCTCATAAAACTTTAAATAAAAGGGAGAGGAGGTTTATAGTTTTCTAATTGTTGATGTTTTCTTAGTCACTTTGAGAATCATTAAGGTCCTTGATTTTTTTTTCTACCCCTTGGTATCTCCACTTCCTTTAGATACTTTGTAAATTGGGCCCTTAAGGCCTTTACAATTGTACTGCCTCTGACACAAATTTCCTCTTAAGCACCTCAAGGATTTTAGGATCCAAGGGTCCAAGTGTAGTGGTTCCATTATTCTTGATGGAGAAAAGTTTGTTGTAATAATTTTTGGAAATCTTTTCCATTTTTCTTCTGTTTGTAATCTCCTTTCCATTTTCATCCTTGAATGCCTTTGGGATGACTTACCTTACTTAGTTGGATATCTTGCCAGCCTTTCTAGAGATTGGTTTTATCCTCCACTGCTTCACTCGATAAGATAATACTATTCACAATCATCCATCATCCTTCTTGGTAGGATTTTACAAATGAGTTTATATTGTAACCTGGTGTTGCATTTGTCAGGCATCTCTCACCATTTGGCAAATAAGTTGAATATCTGGTAAATAAGATGATTTCTGGGCTCTTCTTGTAGCAATTTACATTGGTTTAACTTCTGGATGAAATTATTTACCCAGTGTAAACGTATTTCTGTTGTTCATTTCCCATTTTTTATTTTCAATGGCTTGCTTGAAAAATTCAGAGTTAAATCTTAATTATGCACCACATGCTTTCTCATTACTATTCTTTGTCTTCATTTTAAATTCTGATCTTAGCACTGATAAGTCAGTGGTCTGACTGTGCAGATAGTTGACTCGGGGATAACTTCCATGTCCAAAATTCTTTTCCTGTCTATGAAAATGTAGCTATTTCCATTCTTTTTTTTTTCATGCAATTTGGTGCTTACTAATTCTAGAGCCTGCTAATTCTTTTTTTTTAAACAAAGTATTTGTGATACAGAGACATGAGGCTTCTGTGTAATCTATAAGTCTTTTGCCTTATTCTCTTTCTTGTCAATCATATTTTCCCATATTTCTCCCCATCCTCACCTTATTCCACCTTTGTATTTAAGTCATTAAGTATGGAGAATATGTTAATTTAGTTTGGAAGGTTTTATAAAATTAATAATTAAATTTCTCTACTACTTCTTCCTCAGCAACTTATACTGATATATAAGGTACAATTATTTTCATGGGTTTTTTTGCAAATATTTATCATTAATACTGTAATATATGATGACCAAATGTCCGACAAATATTTTTTAGTAAGTACTTTTTGATTTGGCTTTTGTGTGCTGAAATAATCGGACTGATCTTGTATCTTTTTTATTGATCTTATTTATAGTTAATTTATTTTATCCTGTAACTGCCTAAGTCATGATTCTTTGTCTCTGAACTTAGTTCAGAAATTCAACTGGCCTGTAATGAGTTAAGAAATTCAATTCTTCAGCTAATCACTGTTCCGTTCTTGTCTTACCTCAGGGAAATTTGTTATCCTTGAGGGATGCAGATAGACACCAGGTAGTCTGGTCCAGTATCCTTTACATCACCAAGCTATCCTTCAAGGATGTCTGGTCTGTTATCCAAAGAAGTCTATTTCTAACCTTACAGGTAGACTCAAATAATGAACATGTCTTAGTCACAGGAGGGAGAGGGGGTTGTTGCTACCCTCATTCCCAATTTCCAACAACATTATCAGTTTTGTAACCAATCATACTGATTTTGCCATTCATGATACTGAGTTCTTTTAACAAATCCTAACTTGTTCACTGCCTATGAAGTCCTATTCTTTGTTATGCACTGCCCAAACTGTAAGAGCTATCCCTCTCATTAAGGGTCTTAGCTTAGCTGGGGAAGCTAAGATCCTATTTATTGACAAATTTGTCCTATACTAATAAATTGATCATACTTGGAACTTTGTGCCTCAGTCTACCTTAATTTTAACTGTTACAGTGCAAATGATAAAACCCACTGTGTCAGCTCCTTTCCTTGCTTCTCCAAGTAGTACCTCTAAGGGGGAGCCATCTCCAGTTGTCTTGATTTATAGCTTGCCCCTGCACCCAGGTGGCTCCAGAGCAGAAAATGAGGCTGCTCACTTTGCACAGCCCTCCCTCACTCAAATCCAATTCACTTGTGAGTCATGGCCTTCACCTTCTTGATGCCATGGTTCTCTTCCAGAACGAACCACAAACGACAACCTGTAAGTAATCCTTCTGTTTAAGTACAACTTCATTCTTCTGGAGTCAGGAAGACCTGAATTCAAATCTGACCTCAAGCACTGACTAGCTGTGTGACCCTGGACAAGTCACTTAACCTTGGTCTGCTTTAGTTTCCTCAATTGTAAATGGCGATATTAATAGCACCTACCTTATAGGGTTGTTAGGATCAAATGTGATATTTATTTAAAAAAATAAAAAGTGCTTAGCATAGTGCCAGGAACATAGACACACACAATAGATGCTTTATAAATGCTTATTCCCTTCCTTTACCTTCCTTTTTTTTTGGTGGTGGTGGTGGTGATGGGGCAATTGGAGTTAAGTGACTTGCCCAGGGTCACACAGCTAGTAAGTGTCATATGTTTTGTCTGAGGCCGGATTTGAACTCAGGTCCTCCTGACTTCAGGGCCAGTGCTCTAGCCACTGTACCACCTAGCTGCCCCCTACCTTCCCTTTTAAGACAAAAATATCAAAAGATTATGAGTCAGCTCCTCCAGCAATATGTCCACTTGATGATCACTGGACAAGGATCTCACTTTTTAAGTACCAACAGTCAACTTAAAGTTTATGGACAACCTAAAACCTGAGGAATTTTTAGCAGCTTCTGCCCCCTTTCTGCTACTCTTCCACTGTCACTGAAGAAACAGAAGAGGGCTTCACCAGATTGAGGATCATTTTTTATTCTTCTATTTCATGGGATACCACGGCTATAAAGGTTTCATTACTGGATGACCAGTCTAACGGTGATATGTCTCATCATGACTAACTAGGCTGGTCTTTGACTCGTTTGTTTTTTTGTTTAACCATGCCTCTACTCCAAGCCTTTCCGTCAGGAGCTTTCCTCCCAGAGTTTGTGCTTCCCTGTGTAGCCTCAAGCACTCAGGGACACCTCCACACCACAGTAAAATAACGGCATACGACTTTAGTGAACAACAAAAGATGGACGTGAACATTCTAAGTGATATATACATAAATTAATGGGCACTTAGGCAGTCATGTTTTTCCTCATTTTGTGCAACTGCACCGTTGATTCCTGGTGTTTTAATCCCTCACAATCTAGGTAAAGTGGATGGAAATGCCTTCACATTTGAAATAGGTCAAGTATATAGGCAGACCCCTGTCAAAGTCTCCCATACTTACTGCAGAAAGATTCATCTGGATGACAGATCCTTTTTTAAAATCCTTAAGCCCTGTGAGCTAACCTATTTCACACCCTAGTATCCATTACTTTAATCTGATAGTAAGATTAGCATTTAGCTGATTATTGCAGCTTTCCAGGGGAGTTTGGACTGGATTGGGAAGGGAGAGGAAGGGAAAGAGAAGAGGCATTAAATCTAAAAATAACTAGGGTATGCAAGGAGAACAGAAATTCTGGAGGGTAGATCAAAGGGGGGTGAATTACTTAGGATAGTCATTGATGAGCATGAAGGGAGCAAAAAGGGAGGAAACAAAAATGACAGAGAAACTAAAATGCTGTACTTTGTCCTTTTCTTTTTCTGGCCATTTTTCCTAAGTCCCTAGTGGCAGCTCGTGTGCTAATGGTTAAGAGATGAGGATTAATTTTAAAGACTGAAAAACCTCAAATCTTTAATTCAGTTTGTATCTCCCTATCCAATATCTAACCTTCCTCCATTGGGAGAGGAAGACTTAAGGTAAAAAGGACAAGAGACATTCCATTAGACAGTTGTCATGTGGCTATAACTGAGCCTACATCTACCACCTTCCAAATGGTTCATTTGGAGTAAAAATGTCCTCAACACTCTCAATCAAAGGTTCCCTGTAACTGGGTTCAATCTCCCCTTTCAAGCCAGGTTGGAATCTTTGGAGCTCCTTGTCATCACCACCCCTTGCCCCAAATAGTCCTCATCAAGTGCCAACTTGCATTAAGATAGACATGGTCCCTAAATGCTCCTGCCTTTCTGCCAAAGACAAACACAATGACATGAACACACATCAACCATGCTTGCACATAGTGGAACAAAACTGCATTTGTGCCAAGTAAAAATCAGCAGAATACTAGGAGTCTAGATGTAACTCTTTGTGGCCAAACCCTACTCTCAAGAGAGTAGGGGATGAAGATGGTAGATAGTTAGGGACAAGCAAGACCACAAAGAGGTCAGAGTCTCAGGAGGAAGAAAAGACCCAGAGGTTTTGATGAGATTCAGCAGCAGCAGACATGGCTCTGAGAAAGAGCTTTTACAACGAACCTCTTGTGTTCCCTACTAAGTGAAGTCTATTAGATGGGAAGATTAAGAAGACAGAAAAATGAATAAAATATCAATCCCTGTGGAAAATAAAATAAAAGGACAAGAGATATATGAAAATGTCTCCCAATTCCCATAATTAGTATAGAATTTAAGGAATTTGTTTTTTGTTCTCACTGAGTATCCAACGGCTTGTCCCTACATTGACTACTGTTTTTTCTGGAAGCAGTCATATGCAAATTTCCATTACACATTTTAGGTGCTCAATAAATATTTGGTGACTACTACTGAATTTAGAAGTTGATTGCTTTCTAAGAAATCTCATCTTATCTTTCTATAAAAAAGTCCTAAAACTTGCCTTTTCTCTGTTCAGAATGCATTTAGTTGTGAAATGCATGCCTTTCCAATTAAAATTCTATGATATTTTAAAGAGGAACTTATGAGAAGATAGCAATCTGAAGAATCAGTAAGAGAATACTTTCCAAGTGGCATACTACAGTTGGCTACATGGTCTGGCTCTCTGAAAATCACTACTACATTTCATGTGACTATAAAGGATGAGAAGGAAAAACTCAAAGTAGGCACTGTGACAAAGGCATGCCAGAATGTTAATGGAATAATGGATTGTTTGCACATTAATTAGGCTATAACATAATTAGTCACATAATCGTGACAAAATCAGTTGAACTATGGCTTAATAGGATAAACTACTATTAGATAATATTAAAAAATTTCTGAAAAACAAGACTTTATTTTGCTATATACCAAACATTATGATAAACAAATGAGAAGATAGAATGCATCCTGTTCTCCAGGACATTTATTACTACATTTTCATGTAAATAGCCTACATTTATCTGACCTTTGTTTATCTGGAATGGTTTGTTATACAATCTTAAAAAATGATCCTCTACACTTTCTCACATTATAGGAATAAGATATATATGCCCAATGTCACAGAATCAGAAGTCTGTAATAATTCTGAAAATTAAATTTCTGCCAACCATTCCAAGACAGAGCAGAATCATGGTACAGAGGAGAGAGCCTTGACAGTCAGGAAATCCCGTATTCCTGCCTGACATACAAGCTGTATGACTCCTGGACAAATCACTTAACCTCTGAGGGCCTCTAAAATTAACTTGGGGTTGGGGGGTGGGGAGAGAGGTAAAAATGGGGATTATCAACAATGTGGAAGGGATTTCCATACTTGGAAAAAATGTCCAATCGTTGCTGCAGAACAAATTGCCTTGATTAATTAGCAGGACCAAACAATACTTTCTAGTAACTACTAGAATTTCCAGGTTATCCTCTTAGAGGAAAGGTTTGAATATGTAGCTATGTTTTGCTCAGGATCCCTCTATCAAGCTCCCAGAAGTCCTTTAAGCCCCCTAAAAATTAATGCCTTTACCTACACACAATACCCACGTCAGCCAAAAATCTCTAATTTAGAGAATCTGAAGGAGAGGAATAAAAAAAAATTTTTTTTTAAAGAACTATCTGGTTATTGCTTGGTCCTGACTTATCCAATATGTAGTTATACTATGTGTATGGTCAATAGTCATGGAATCCATGAATAAATGAAAGCTATACATTCAATTCTCCAAAATCAGAATTCCAGTTATGCATATGCCTAAAACCCACAAGAATGATGTCACCTAGGAGTGGCTTCTAAGGCAGGCTCCTGAGTTTCCATAGAAATAGAATCTTCTGTTTCAGAAGAAGGGCTATCAAGAAGAGGACAAGCATCCTCTATTTCCAAGTGGTCTGATTTCTCCAGTTCACTGCCCATGCCCGTGTTCTCTTTGGCTTGCATCTCCTGCTCTTCCATTTCCAAAGTTTTGTCTGGGGCTTGAGCTGCAACTTCCTCATCTTCCTTCTGCTGGGCAAAGTTACAAATCATGTTGGGTCTATATGAAAAATCATTGTCCTTGATCTGCAGCCATTCCACACCACCTATTCCAGAAAAGAAATAATTATGCCAAGAAATAAGGATGGAGAGGAGGGAAAATTTATAAACTAACATTTTCCTCAATTAATACAATCTTAAACTGATATTCCCAAACAAACATGTCAAAGGAAACATACTACCCTTAATACATCAAGGCATATGTGTCATTGAATATTGTGTTCACCTGCTAATCTTGGAAATGTGAATGCCTACAAAGAAAAACTATATAAAGCCAAAAAGAAATTTCAGTTACTTTTTTTTTAAAAAGTAGGAAGATGACATTTTACCTGTCTATCACAGGCCTTTTGCTAAAGCGCTTAATCCATTATCTCCAAGCGATATCTTCAACTAGAGGTCTCCTGAAACTATCTCTGACACCAATGATCTTCTAATCATCAAATCAGACGATCATCTTTACAGCCTTCATCATGTTTGACTTCTTTGGAGCATGACACTACTGACACATTCTCCCATCCCCAAATATTTTGGATACTCAATCCTCCCTTAGTTTCTGAAATATAACATTCTCTCCTGGTTTCCCTACTTCTTTTACTCATTCCTTCTCTCAATTATTGTTACTTCATCTTCTTTCAAACCTTTTAATTACAATACTGCCCAATGTTACGTCCTAAGCCCTTTTCTCGTTCCTCTCTACATTTCAGTCTGTGGCTTCAGCTTGCCTTTAAGCAGATCCAAGTCCTCACTTCTGGCCAATTCTCCCAAACACCAGATCCAGATACCCAAGTACCTACATAACATAGGTCTGTAAACCTATAGGATGATATAGAGCTGGAAGAATCATCAAGATCATCTAGCCCAATACCTTCATTTTATAGTAAAAAACAAGCCACAGAGAAAAGAGGTGACTTGACTAAAATCACAAAGATAATAAATAACAGAACTGGGATTTCCAAATTAATGTCCTACTGGCAGACACCTCAAACTCAATATGTTTAAAAAGCTCATCTTTCCCTTAAAACCCTTTCCTTCTTTTATAACTACTTTTATCAGTGTCACCACTGTTCACCTAAATTCTGAGATTCAAAATCTCAGTGTGATATTTTAACTTTCCTCTTCCTCATCTTACTATATAAACTGTTAAGATTAAATTTTTTCAATCCTACCATTGCAATTATTCTCACATTCCTTTCTTTCTCTCTATTCCCACTCCCACTTTCTTAGCCTCACTGTTACCTAACTGAACTATTGCAATAGCCTCCTGAAGGTCTTCTGCTTCTACTCTTTCTTGTCTGCTTAATCCATTTTTTTTAATTGCTCTCATATAGATCTTTATTCACAGCTCTGGTTACCTCACTTCTCTGCTCAAAATCCTTCAACAGCTCTCTATCTACCACAAAAGTTCAAAGTCCTTTGCCTAATGTTTAAACTGTCCTTCCTACCTTCACAGTCTCCTCCTATTACACCCTTTCATCCACTCTAAACTCCAGCCAAAGAGGACTACTTTACAAACTCTGTGCTTTCCCAATTCTATGCCTGTTCTCATATTATTTTCTATCCACAGAATGCTTTTACCCCCACTGCCTAATGAATTCCTAATCAACTTTTAAAAGCCCAATTTAAATGCCATTTCCTCCATGAAGCACTCCTCTGGTTCCCTAACAAAGTACTTTGCACCTCTCTGTTGCACTAATGTGTTTATAAATAACATATCATATCATCAAAACACTGTATCTTCTCTAGCACAGAACTCTGGAAACTAATTCAAATATAATTTCTTGGTAAGCAATGAAATAACTTGTATGCTCCTGATAGGTTACCTTTTATTGAGATTTAAATCTGTAGGTTAAACCCCAAGTTGTATATTTGTATACAGTGCTCATAGCTACTTCACTAATTATGAGGCAATATGCTTGAATTAAGTATTATCCAGACTTTACTATGCTAGCTCCTTGAAGGCAGGGACTGTTTTTGCTTTTTCTTTATATTCGTAGTTCTTAGAATAGTGCCTGACACAGAGTAAACACTTAAATATTTTTTGATTAACTGATACAATATAAGTCAAGTCCAAATCACTGTTTTCTGAAAATGAGGTATACTAACCTATGTTGTCTTCTCCCTCCTTCTTCTCAGTCAGAAGTGTTCTCGTCATACTCAGCTTCTTCATTGTGTGGCACTTATATTTCAGCTCTGTTTTATGGTTACCTTCTGCATCGACTATAAGCAAAGTTGCCTCAATTACTATGATGTTCAATTTCATATGAAAAGTTTAGGCTCTGTGCCCCTGAATTTAACCTGGGAAATCAGAGTAATTACTTACCCTGATCTGTATTTTCTTCAAACACAACACAAGTCCCAAGAGTGTCTATAGGAAAAATATAGGACAATTTACTGAGAAATACGGTTCTTCTCTGAGTCACATAATTATAAAGGAGCTTCAGCCAGTGACCTCTTCCTACCTTCATATTCCCCAGCAAAGACATAGCTGTCCACTTGAAGAATAGGTCTCTCTGTATCAATGCCCTATGAAGTGAACATAATAAAACACTGTCAGAACTAGAAGAGACTTTAGCAGGTTACCTTGTGGGAAACCTTTAACATATACATTCTCCAAATAAGTACTCTAAGAAATGGTATTGCTCTAGAAATAGTAGTTGCGGTCCAGAGAATACTTCTTTGGTGAACTTTCTATCTATTCCATGTAAAATCAACTCTGAAAGATTAACTAAAGGACAGTTAAAAAGTTGTCAACAGTACCAGTTAACTAAAATTTCAAAGGGAGGTTGGGAATAAGTGACAACTCACTCAGCAGCAAACAGTCAATAAACATGTATTAAGCACCTACCACATGCCAGGCACTGTACTAAGCACCGGGGATACAAAAGGAGGCAAAAGACAGTTCCTGCCCTCAAGGAGCTCATAATCAACTCGAGGAGACAAATAAGCAAACAAATATGTTCAAACAAGCCACAGACTGGATAAACAGGAAATAATGAAGAGGGAAGGACTAGAATTAAGAGGGTTTGGGAAAGTCTTCCTATAGGAGATGGGATTTTAGTTGGGACTTAAAGGAAGCCAAAGAAGCCAGAAGGCAGAGATGAGTAAGGAGTGTATTTTAAGCATGGGGGATAGCCAGAGAAAATTCACACACCCAAGAAATTTCTAAGAGGTATCTTTTCTTACACAGTCTCCCCATTCTTCTCCATGCTTATCTCTGTTTCTCACTGTCTCCTCATGTATCTATCCCCCCCCCAATTCGTTCCTCTTCAATAGCAGCTCAAGACTGATACAAATTTTATATTTTCTATTGTCCAAATAAATTGTCTTTCCTATTCTTAATGTAAAAGAGCAGAACACTTAATATTTTATAATTCCCTTAAATACAGTTCTGATATATGGCTCTTAAATAATTCTGAGGAGGCTAGTAGATAGAGAAAAGGGTTTACCTCAGATAAAAAAAAATGATCTCTAGCCCTGACTTAAATTATCTGCTATGGATGACTGTTAATTTTAAAGATTTATAGGAATACAAAGTTCACAATTTAGGTACTTAATCATATTTCACAGTGATTTACTATTTTAAGGATAATCATTATCTCCTACCACCTATAATTAATTTTACATAGCAATTATCACACTTAATATAGAAATTCTCTATAAACAAAATTTAGCAATAAGCATAATTAAATATTTAGCTGACAAAGTACTTTTGATAATTGCAGCTTACATTTATATGGTTCAAATCCAGCCTTGGACACTGACTATATCTGTGTGACCCTGGGCAAGTCATTTCACCTCTGCCTACTTCAGTTTCCCCATCTGCAAAATGATGATAACACCCACCTTGTGAAGATAAAATGAGATAATTGTAAATCACTTCTCCAACCTTAAAGTGCTACAGAAACATCAGTTACTGTTATAGTGCTTAATGGTTTACAAAATGCTTCCTTGACAAGAATTCTGTGATACACGCAGAACAAATATTAATTCTTATTCTCATTTCACAGAAGAAGAATCTGAAGCTCAAAAAATTGTGACTCTGCCCAGAGTCACACAATTAGGGCCTCTCAGAACTAGGACTCAAACCCAGCTTTGCTGAATTTAAATTGTTTTCTTTTTCTTTTCCCTACATTCCGCAGTTAATAAGATTTTAATCCTGTTTTTAGTTTAGGAACAGTTTAAACAAACCATAAAATGCTAGACACTCACCAAAATCTTGCATTTGTTTCCACATCTTGTTAAAAACTCTGAATCTATAATTCCTGATAATTCCACCATAACCAATTGCTCCTGGAGGGGGAAAAGGAAAAGGTGTTAAAAGCTAGTAGTCAACAAAGTAGATGTCCATTTTGGGGGGAATGGCTAAACAAACTATGGTATACGAATGTAATGGAATATTACTATGCTGTAAGAAATATCAAACTATGAATACAGAGAAGCATGGAATTTATGAGGAGGTAATTGGAGCCAATAAAACAATATGAACAATCACTATAAAAATGTAAATGGAAAGACTCACAGAACAATTACAATGAATGTTGCAGAAATACCAAAAAATAAGCATAGTTACAAAGAAGACAGATGAGAAGATACCTCCTTCCACTCTTACAGAAGCGGGAGATCCACAGCTGTGGAACACTACATATATTTTCAAACTTCTTTAATGTATTGATGGATTTTGCTAATTTTTTCTCTTCTTCCTCTTGACATTGTTTTTCCTTTAAAAACTATTCTTTACTATATGGCATTGCCCTCTGAGAGAGGGAAGGGGAAAGAATACTGGGAGAAATGTAGATAATGTAAAAACAAAGCTATCAATAATTTTTTTTTTTTTAAAAAAGCTTGCCACTGCGGTACAATAGAGCTGATGTGAATTCAGAAGAGTGGAACTCTGCCATTCACTATGTATGTAACTTCTTCTATACAGCAACCAAATTCACACTCTTAAGAACATAAATCTGACCACATCATTCTCCTAAGCTTCAATTACTCCCTACTACCTTCAGGATAAAATATGAACTCCTCTGACATTTGAAGCCCTTCACAATCCAGCTCCAACATGTTTTTACATTGATTTCTCAATACTGACTCTCAGTCAGTTCCCATTCTTGCCACTCCATCTCCTTCCTCTGCATCTTTGTACAGGTTCTCTAAATCAACAAGTATTTATTTAGCACCTACTATGTGTCAGGCACTGTAAGAGCTGAGGATACTGTACAAAGACAAAAAAGTCCCTGCTCTTGAGGAATGTCTAATGGACAACATGCAGACATCTAGTTACAAACAAGATATATAACAAAACTGCAGATATCTCGAAAGGAAGACACTAGAATTAGGGAAAGCAAAAGGGCTTCTTGTAGAAGGTGGGGTTTTAGTTTAGACTTGAAGGAAGCCAGGGTATCCAGAGAGAGAGTTCCAGTCATGAGGTACAGTGAGTGAAAATGCATGGGAGTTGGGAGGTATAGCAAGGAGACTAGTGTCACTGGATCTCAGAGTACTTGGGAGGAGAACAAAGAGTAAGACTGGAAAGGAAGGAAGTGGCTAGGTGATGAAAGACTTTAAACGCCAAAGGATTTTCTATTTGATCCTGGAGGGAACAGGGAGCTACTTGGAGTTTATCCTATTAAGGGGATCAAATCTGCTCTTTAGAAAGATCATTTTGATAGTCAACTTAAAACAGGGAGATGAACCAGATGGCTATTGGTAGTCCAAATGTGAGATGACGTTGGGCTCTACCAAAGTGGTGGCTGTGTTAGAGGAGAGGGGGAATGCACCAGAGATGTTGCAAAAGTAGAATCCACAAGACTTTGCAACAGATTGAAAATGGGAGGTGAGAAACAGGAGTCAAGGATGATACCTAAGTTGTAAGCCTGGGTGACGGGGAAGAAAGTGGTATCCTCAACAGTAATAGGGAAGTTAGGAAGAAGAAAGGGTTTGGGGAAACATGATGAGTTCAGTTTTGGACATGTTAAGCTTAAGATTTCCATGAGACATCTAGTTTGAGATGTCCAACAGGCAGTTGGAAAAGCCAGACCATCATCTTAAAATGCTTTCTTTATTCATCTCTCCCCAAATAGATACGGGCAGCTAGGTAGGTGGTGGTTTGGGGTAAGGAAGATCTGTTTTCAAATCCAGTCTCAGACACTTACTACCTGTGTAGTAGTTTAAACCTGTTTGCCTCAGTTACTCATCTGTAAAATGAGCCGGAGAAGAAAATGGTAAACCACTCCAGTATCTCTGCCAAGAAAATCCCAAATGGGGTCACAAAGAGTTGGACACAACTGAAATGACTGAACAAGAAAACAACCACCCGTATTAAGATCCCTAGCTGTTTTTAAAGCTCAGCTCAAGCGATACCTCCCCTAAGAGCCTTTTCCTAATTGTGCCAGTTGTTATTGTTCCCAAACACACAAACTGTTTTATAATTTTGGGGGGTATGTATCTCATATCTATTTTTGGACATGTTTCTCCTTTATAGAATGTAACCTTCTTGAGGGCAGGGACTCTCTCATTTCTATCTTCATATTTCCAGAATCCAGGAGAGCTCTTGGCACATAGTTATGACTTAGTAATAATGCTTATTGTCTTGAACTGACTGGAACCCAATTACATCATGGTACGGTAGAAAGAGTTCTGGATTTGAAACCATAGGTCTGAATTTCAAATCCAGGACCTGCCACTTACTCTGTGACCTTTGGCAAGTCACTTACCCTCTCTAGCCCTCATTTGTAAAATGAAAATTTTTGACCCAATAATCCCTAAGGATCCTTCTAACTCTAATAATCTCCATAAACTTTCTAAGGATCTTATTGAAAAATTAAGGAAAAAGTTATATTTCTACATAACATATAATTTCATTAACAAATTAAATCTGTTAAGTTAGGTTAAGCACAATGACCTTACAATAATTTCACTATGACTTTTTCACTTTGATTACAAATGTACATTTAGGACAAAGTGCTAAGCCCAGTATAATGGAAAGGTTGTTGAGTGGAAGTCAGGATATCTAGATCAGAGTCCTTCTATTGGCTAGTTGTATAACCTAGTCAAATCATAAAAAAAGTCTAATTATTTTTATCTGTAAAAATAAGGTGGGTTGAAGAGGGGTAAGGGAGATTATACTAGATTAGTATTTCTCAAAACATGTTTTACAAAACCTGTTCCCAATATCTGTGAATAGAAGGGTTTCATGAGAATACTCTTGATGCTGACCATGTTTTTCCAAGAAAAAAAAAAAACCAAAACAACTTTCATTCCTGAAAATGGTCCTAAGTTCTAAAATATCATATTGCATTGTAGCATTAAGTTCTGGTAGATCCAAGCAGGAAAAGAATATGGGCTGATCCCACATCAACAAGAGGTAAAGACAGTAACACGGGTACCCAAGAATCTTAAGAGGTAGAGAAAAGGAGTCCAATCTCATGCTAATCCTCTAAGTAGAAGGAAGGATTGATGACAACAAACAGATGAATTGTGATCTACATGACCAGAGAATACCATGTTCAAAAAGATTTCTCGATATATTTAAAAAAAAAAAAAAGAACTTATTGTGTTCCAAATCTTCATGACTTTACCCCTAGACTAGACCACATTTATGACTTTCATCAATATTTCATGCCCTAAAGTTCCATGCTAGTCAAGGAGGAAGATACCATTGTGGAGAGGGGGTCTCCCTCCCTTATCACTAGCAACAATTGCTGAACCAACTCCTGCACAGCAGCCCTGGTAGAGGGCAGCACCCTCCCCCCCAGACCACCAGACCTGCTCGCAGCTCAACCCTCACAGCCATCATCTGAGGAAGCAACTCCTATGGAGAAGAGGCTAGTCACCCTAACTACCAATCCCCAGGCAGGCAAGTCAGCCTAGCTAAAGAAGCAAGACACTGGGGCAGCTAGGTGGCGCAGTGGATAGAGCACCAGCCTGAGATCAAATCTGGTCTCAGACACATAACACTTACTAGCTGTGTGACCCTGGGCAAGTCACTTAACCCCACTGCCCAGCCAAAAAACACAAGAAGAGGCAAGGCACCAAGAGAAAGTCATGAGGTAGCACGTGTGGCAAGTTAAACCACCATCACCACTTTGGCCACTATCTCTCCTGATGGAGACAACCTCGGACCCTGAACCCAAGAGTCCTGGGAATATCTTTGCTGCCAGCTCAGTATCCTCTGTCATTATCTTGGGAAGCAACAGTTATGGAGTTGCAGCCTGGCCACTGCTCCTGCAGGTGCTAAAGTCATAGCTACTTTTTTTTTGGCTAGGCAATGGGGTTAAGTGACTTGCCCAAGGTTACACTGCTAGTAAGCGTTAGGTGTCTGAGGCCATATTTGAACTCAGGTCCTCTTGACTCCAAGGCAGAAGCTTTATCCATTGCACCATCTAGCTGCCCCCTAAGACATAGATACTTAGGACCTTGTCACCAAAGTCCTTGGCAATGTCACATGGCTCAGCATCACAGACTGATGCGATGGAGGCGTTAAGATGTACTTTGTCAAGAATACACCCTAAAGGCCACGGGTCCTTCCCATCTGACTCTCTCCCCGTTTGAATGGGGAGCTCCTTGAGGGCAGGGACGGCCTTACTTTTCTTTGTATCTCCAGCACTGAACACAGCGCCTGTTGTCCCTCGCTGCTGTTGTTCAGTCATTTTTCAGTCATGACCCCATTTGGGGTTTTCTTGGCAAAGGCACAGGACCGGTTTGCCATCTCCTTCTCCAGCTCATTTTACAGATGAGTAACTGAGGCAAACAGGGTCAAGTGACTGGTCCAGGGTCACACAGCTAATAAGTGTCTGAAGCCACATCTGAACTCAGATTTTAAAGATTCCAATGGAGCCCAGCGCTCCATCCCCTCGCTGCCCCGTTTGGCAACTAGTAAGCGTTTAATGAATGTTCCTTCGTTCGTTCCTTCCTCCATTCACGCGGCGCCCTGGAAGGAGCACCGAGCGAGGCCCCATCTCCCCGGAAATGCCATCCTGCTCCTCTCCCTGGGCCCCAGGAAACCCGTTCTAAAAGCCAGGAAAGGAATTCCATCTTCCCGAGGCACGCTGTACCCCGCGGCCTGGGCCGTCGGCCGCCACTTACCTCCTCTTCTTCGTCCTCTTCTTCCTCGCGCCCCGGAGCTAGCTCACCCAGGGCGGTAGCCGCCATAGTCCCCGGGCTTAGGACTTGAAGATCCTTTTCCCCCCAGCAGCCTCCACTAGCATCAGGTGACCGCGCACGACCCCCTGCGCCGCCATCTTGAGGGCGGGCTGCTGAGAAGCGACTTCCTGGTTCTCTGGTTCCGGCTCCGCCTCTTCCGCTGAAAAGCCCTTGCCCCGGAGCGGGAGGAGAGGCGTTCCGGCAGAGGGCGGTCGTGCGCTTGCCTGCTCGAGTCTCTCTCTCCTGCGTGTGCAGTCTCTGCCTCCTAAGCCCGGCTTGTGTCCGCCTGAGGAAGTGCCGGACCTGGGGCGGGGTGGGCCTTAAGCCCTCCTGTCGGGAATAAATGAACAATTGCTCAAGCATTCATTAAGCGCCTACCACGTGCCCTGAGAACTAGTGTATCTATTGGTAGTGTATCTAGTCAGCATTTATTAAGCACCTGCTGTGTGGGAAAGGCTAAAATAGGGTCTCGTACATCCCAAGATTACATACATACACACCTAGGGAAAGGCGATGGCGGCCGGTGGGCCCCCTACAAAAGGCGAGCCGTGGAAGAAGCCAGAGGCAGAATGCACGAGGAGAAGCACAGAGCACCGGCCTGGGCTTCCCCAGCTCTAGTCTCCGCCGTCTCCGCCGTCTGCGTCAGAGATTCGAACCCCGAACTTATGACTTCACCTCCCGGCATTCGCTCAAGTCAATGAGCTTTTATTAACTGGCAGACACTCTTCTAAAGCCTTGAATTACCCCCCCAAAAAAGAAGCCAAATCAGCCCCCCCTTCGTCCCCAGTCTAGGCTGCCCTGATCAAGTGGGATATTAGATGAATCGAAAAGAAGACGAGTGAATAAGGAGAGAAAAATAAGGAGTCTGGGCAATTTGTAGAAGACTGTTGGTATTGTATAATTCAATAAAACTTGTATTAACCACCTGTTTTGCACCAAGATCAAACTAAATGATGTATATCAAGTACTTTAAAGTGCCATATAAATGCTAATTATTATTAGAGTTGTCATTATGCCCTGAATGGCCCCTGGGATGCAAAATGGAAAAAAAAAAATGACGTGTCTTTGCTTAGCAATAGCTTACAATCAAATTGGGAGGGGTCCAAGCAAAGATAAGCATGATATGGAGTGGAGTGTCTCGTGATAGGGCCAAAGGAAAGGTCCAGGCTGTGCTCTGAAAAAATTTCAGGGAGAGATATCAATTTCAGCTAGGGGATTAGGGAATACTTCATGGAGGAGAGGACACCTGAACTGGGCTAATAATAGACTTCTGTATATTGAACTACTGAAAGGATGTTAGAAAAAAAGATCTTTTGCCCATCTGGCTTCTAGGTTCCCATTCCATTCATGGCAACCTCATTCCAGCTGAGATTTCAGATCATGAGATACTGTTTAAACCTTGTTAGTAAAGCAAGATGATATCTTCAGTTTTGGCGAAAGTTCTGATGTTCTACTTATCTATGGTTCTGGGCATAATGCTTATGTCTAGAACTATAGAACACAACAAATCAAAAAGGTAATCCTCTTAAGACTTAGGCAGAGATGTGAGCTAATGGAATAGAAATGATTTAAGTTGAAGGAGGTGAGGGGGTATACATAGGCCCTGGAAACCCTCCCAGCCCAACTTCCCCAGAAGTCTCCCACAAGGCCCTGGTGTTTGCCTGAGCCTCAACCCATACAATCCTTTCAACTGTGCTTGTATTGTGGCTTTGACCCTGCCCCAATCTCCAATTCTGTTACCTCCAACCTCGCCCAGCCCTTCATTGTCTAGATGGCCCAGACCACTTCCCACTCTAGATTCAATCTAGACCCCTTCCGTTTACCTGGGGCACCCAGTCCTTCCAGATCATTCTTTGTTACCTCCCAGTACCCAAGCTATTGGTCACATCCTTGATCACATCCAAATCCTCCATTAAATTGCTCAGACTGCTTAAGAGTCTGGCCCACTTCTTTTGGCAATATGATAAACCTTGTCTCTGCTCAGATTCTTAAAATCTGGCCCATAGCGCAGACTCATTAGGAATCTCGATCACCCCAATCAATGTTTTAATAAACTTTGTCTTTGACTGAAAGAAGGCTTGGGTGGAATTCATCCGAGGCTGGACCCGCATCTTCTGTCCTTGAATTTTGGGGTTCCTAGCACCCCTAGACCTCAGGGGGAGTGGTGTACAATTGACAGCCCTGGGTAATGTAATTCCATTATCTAAGAAATGAAATTAGTGTTTAAAACAATATTTTAAACTCTGCCACTAGGAGGAGACAAATGAATTAAAGATTATTGTGGTTCTGCTGTTAAAGCACTTGAAAACAATAAAATACACGAAGATGTAGTTCATCTTAAATCAGTATTTCAAATATCCATCATTTCACTAGTGTGGATAGACAGCTCATCATTTCTCCTCTGCTTTAGTAGACAGTCTTACCAAACTATTCTGACAAAAAAAAAAAATCACCTCTTGGCCGCCCTTCTGGTAATGATATTTTCTAAATTTAGCCAGACTGTTCTACAAATGATTTAGACTTGTAGCCAGTTCACTACTCCTTTCAGTTCACTAGGACCTGCCCTAACTTAGCTGACTTAGCTTTCAAGAATCCAGAGTCTATTTTTTAGATAAGATAAAGCATTAGCATGGGACTTTAGTGAAGAGCAGTACCTCATTTTATTATTTTGTGCGGTAAATCAAACATTACCTAAGATTATCTTTTAATTAAGGTTAACATTTCACCTTAAAATCACATTTTACATTTGTATACCTTTTATTTACTTTAAGGATCCAGTCTTTCACAATAAAATGAAATCAAAGGAAACATATTACTTTGTAAACATTAAATCACCCTATGAATGCCAGCTAGTATTATTAATTTTATCAAGTCTCATTGCCACAGTTCAGTGAACTAATATTTAGAGCTAAAAACTGAATGTAGGACATAGTACAGAATTATATAGCCCAAATCCCATTTTCTAAGTGCTAAAGCAGTGTTTCCTAAAATGTAATTTGGAGGACTTTTAAGAGTTGGAATTCATAGTCTGGAGAATGATCAAGGGTGGGAGCACTAGTAATGGGTGAAAATGTGGCAAGTAGAAGACTGGAGACTATGGCATTAATAACCAGAGATATTCTAAAGATAGTTATTTTTGAGGATTTGGTTGCATTAGCTCTATATTGTATATTGAGACTATAAATTGCAGAAGTTGTCAGTCTGCATCAGTAGAGAAAGCTTACAAATTGGGAGTTTCCTAACTGTGTGAAATCACAGGCATATACAGCTTCCCCCCTTCTTCCCCCATCCCCACCAAAAAAGAAAAATTACTGCGTAAAAAGACAACCTCAAAGTCAGAAAGATTTGGGTTCATTTCTCACCATCAGGCTGTGTGACCCAACAAGTCATTTATCTCCCAATTCCTCGGGCAACTAATTTTCTAAGACTATAATTTGCAGAACAATTGCCTAATCTGCATTCCATGAGGAAGTTTCCTCAGTAGGAATTTCCCTACATCAGTGAAATCACAGGTGCAGACCATGATTATTACTACATAATTTGGGGAGAGATAATAATTATTTACCAAGGAGAGAAAGGATGCGCAACAGCCCAGAAGTATCCCAACTTTGATTTAAGGAAAAGAGAAAATTATCAATAATACTGAAATTAAAGCTGGTTTAAGAAAATTTTGTGGTATCCTTGATAGCTTTAAAAATTAGAAACATCTTACAAGACAACACTGCCTTCTAATATGTGACCTTGAGCAAGTCACTCAGCTTCTTTTAAAAATGTTTTATTTTTAAATTTTGAACTTAAACTCCAAAAAAACATTTCCACATATATAATAGAACACAAAACAAGGATTGTATATTAAATCATGAATTTCATACTGCTTTTTTAAAAAGTTATGATAAATTTCATAAACATTACTTTCTTTTTCATATTTAAAATGATTTATTGATTAAAACATTATTAAGCACTTACTATTTACAAAGTACTAGAGATATAAATATAAAAGGAAGACAATTCCTGCTCTCAAGAGCTCTCTTTCTAATGAAGAAAATAATACATATGGAAGGTTTCATCTGCAACTCAGATGGAAATGTTCCATTGTCCTTAGGGTGCATCAACAAAGCAGATATTTGATACTTCTTTAATGTCATTAAACTAGGAAAATGGTAGCAGTTTTGTATGTTGAACTACTTGACAATGCCAAGGACTTTCTTTTCTAGGTCTTCTCTAGCTGTGGCTGTAACACCTGCATGAGCAGCGTCCAGGCTGTTTTACCACAAACGTTGCTTCCCAGGATGATGGCCAAGGGCTGTAGACTGGAAACTTGTGGTCAGGGTCCTGGGTTGTCGCCATCAGGATTTGAGAGAAGATAGAGGTCAGCATGGTCATGGTGGTTTGACTTCCCTGACAAGTGCTGACTCCACTGCTAGTAGCAATAATGAAGGTGAGTCCTTTCTCCACAATTTCTTTCTTCAGCGAACTCAAATATTACTTTCAAGACTGTTCTGCATCTGTTTTTTTCTTTTGAACTTCCTTCTATTCTATGCATTTAAAAAAGCCTGTTTCTGGGGACAGCTAGGTGGCACAGTGAATAGAGCACCAGCTGTGAAGTCAGGAAGACCTGAGTTCAAATTCAGACATGTGATACTAGCTGTGTGACCCTAGGCAAGTCATTTAACCCCGATTGCCTCATCAAAAAAAAAAAAAAGCCCATTTCCATGACCCTCTTTTTTTTTCTTTTGGTATCAGTCATTGCTAATGTCCCTCTCTACTTCAAATTCCCCCCAATATAAAAAAAAATCAAAGAAAAAACCCTGATGTCACAAATAAGCATAGTCAAGCAAAATGAATCCAAATGGAAGCATGTTGAAAAATGTCTCTCTGTACTTTGAGTCCCTCTCAGGAGGGGACTGGTAAAGTTTTTCTTTCTTTTCTTTTTCAAATTAAATTTTTTTCAGTTATAAAATTTCATTTTTCTCTTTCTACCAATTCCCTTCCCACTGAAAAGAAAGAAAGAAAAACAAAACTCTTGTAACAAATATGAATGGTCAACAAAAACAAATTCCCACATTGGCCACGTCCAAAAAATATATGTCTCAATATGTACTGTGAACCTATCACCATTCTGT